CTTTAAAAGGGGATAATAACACCTATTTCACTTCCAAAATAGCCATGATACTTACACTTACACAGTTGTGGAAAAAAGATTACATGAGCTAATGGATTTAGGCAAAGTAGCTAGCACCACGGTCAGCACATAGTACAAGCCAATATCCTCCTGGGCTACCCTAATTGTACTCCAAAGTTCTTTCAGATGTCAAGCTGCAGAAATAATTCCAATTTAAGCACTGGATTTTCTAAGAAAGTACATTTTTATCCCAGAACTCTGGGAAGTCGAAGCAGGCAGATCGCTTGAACTCAGGGGTGTGAGACCAGCCTGAGCAACACGGCAAACCAAAAATACAAAAAAAGTAGCTGGGCGCAGTGGCTCACGCCTGTAATCCCAGCACTTTGGGAGGCTGAGACGGGCAGATCACCTGAGGTCAGGAGTTCGAGACCAGCCTGACCAACATGGAGAAATCCCGTCTCCACTAAAAAACACAACATTAACCAGGTGTGGTGGTGCATGCCTGTAATCCCAGCTACTTGGGAGGCTGAGGCAAGAGAATCGCTTGAACCCCAGGGGCGGAGGTTGCAGTGAGCTGAGATTGTACCACGGCACTCCAGCCTGGGCAACAAGAGACTCCGTCTCCAAAAAAAAAAAAAAAAAAATTAGCCAGTTGTCCTAGCTACTTGGGAGGCTGAGGTGGGAGGATCACTTGAGCCTGGAAAGTAGAAATTGCAGTGAACTGAGATTGCACCACTGCACTCCAGCCTGGGTGACAGAACGAGATCCTGCCTCAAATAAATAATCAAATAAATAAACAAACATTTCTTTAAATAATAAACTCATGTATGTATTTTTAGTTAGCAAAGTAATTTCACATTCTGACATAACAGTTCTGAAATACAATGCATTACTGTTATCCATGTTTAATAAATGAAAAAACTGGCCAGGCACAGTGGCTCATGCCTGTAATCCCAGCACTTTGGGAGGCCGAGCCAGGAGGATCACTTGAGGCCAGGATTTTGAGACCAGCCTGGGCAACACAGTGAGACTCCACCTATACAAAAATTTAAAAAAATAAAAAATTAGCTGGGCATGGTGGTACACACCTCTAGTCCTAGCCACTAGGGAGGTTGAGGCAGGAAGATCGCTTACGCCTAGGAATTTGAGGCTGCAGTGAGCCATGATCATACTATTGCACTCCAGGCTGGGAAATGGAGCAAGATCCTGTCTCACAAAAGAGAGAGAGAATACTAAAACCACACAGCCAACAAGAGGCAGACTGGGAATGGAACTATAGATGTTAACATTTTATTATAATTACTATGATTTTCTCAATCAAAAATTCAAATAGGAGATCTTATTATAGAATACTTGAACTCAGACTGTTCCAGAAATCTACTTACATTATGCTAAAACTTATAGCTAAAATCAGAAACAAAATCCTGAAAGAAGAAGTGATCTTTTAAAACAAAGCCTCTCCTCTGGATTTTATGCATCTATTGTTAATAGTCTCAAGTAAGAGAAGAAGAACACGTCTTAGAGTAAGGCTGATCTGAGTGTTAGTAGCATCTCTACCATTTATTAGCTACGTGACCCTGGATATCCAGTTTCTTAACCCCACTAGATTTCAGTATCTTCATCTATGTAATGGGAAAGCAATACCTCCTGAAAAGTCTATGTGAGGGTCCTGGCCCTGAGAAGACAATTAGTAAATGATTAACTACCGTAAAAATCATGCCATGGTACCGACCACTTGGTCTGTAGGTTAGGTGACGGCTTTTCTCTTTCCTGCCTTCTCCAGCATTTGCATACCCCCTGTTCTGCATCTGTTCAATGGGGACACAAACCAGTCTCCATCCAGCCTCACCAGGGAATGAAGATAACAAAAGAGCTGGCGGAGACATTATGCAAATACCAAATATTATTAAAACATTAATGAACTCTGGCAATTTCCCTGAATTTTGATAAATGGTGTTTATTATGCACTGCCAGCCTCTCGCACAGTCTGGGCTCTCAAATATTAACTAGCTAATAACACCAATCATTCTCCTAAAAGACCAAGGTATAGAGGAATAAGAAGTGAATCTAGACAATGGCAGCTAACACCTGCCTCCAAAAAAAATCAGAATCTCTACAGAGAGCATCAGGACAGATCCCAGAGACCAGAGTCACCACCAGCAGGCTCAGATCAACCCCACAGCTTGTGCGGAACCCTGCTTTGATAAGACAGTGGAGTGTCTTGGTGTTGACAGGTCATTGATTACGACAGCTGTCTACCACCTCCTTGCTCTTCAGTGTAAAATTCCTCCAAACGAGACAAAATGAAAAGGATCTGTGAAGCTGGAGGGGCTTCAGACTTGGCTAACAATCTTACAGAAAGAGAGTAACATGCCTCACCCCTGCCAACTGCCTGAAACATGAGGCAGTATTTTTCTCAGCTCCACTAAAGAGGCTTGCACCCAATTCATGGTTGGCCACTTCATTCTGCGTGAGGGGATAATATTTGTAAGCTGCTAACAATCCTCAGGTGCAGCTCAGATACAGAACAAAGCCAAGAGGACTTGCCCCCCCACAACTCCCTGAAATGAGGGCCTGGTGCCACCCAAGTGACACCTTAACAAGCTAGGGGTCATTAAGATACTTCATTTGCATATTCATTAAAGAACCAAGGCTGTGGCAAGTGAAACAAAGTGTACAAAAAAATGATTTTGTTCTTTAAGCCAAGCCAAAATCTGCTTTAGAAAAAGTAAATCCACATAGGAACCCTTGCTGCCGCCAAACCTCCACTTGTCTAGAGCAGCCAGCAACTCATTAAAGGAAAGCAAGGAACTCGCAAATGAATGCAGCACCACACACAGGCAAGCTCATTTCGCCATCTGCCTTCTAGTGTCCAGAGGGGCAAAAGGCTTAAATGACATTCTCCTGGCTTTTCTCTCCTGTAGGTGGAAATGCTAAATTCCCAGGGGGCAAGAAAGACTGCTTGCAAGGTCAACTGGGTAAAAAGGAATAGAAGCAAATCTAGTTTGCCTGTCAACACAATGCCACCCATGGCATTAAACACATGCAAAAATTAAGCACCCTAGAATAATTTACTTCTTTATATTTGGATAAAAGCTTTGCTGACTCAGTGTATCAGCTATGGAGTTAAGCACAGAAGTTCCTAATGAGCCAGGCACTTAAACTTACCCTCCCTACATTATCCCATTTCCTGACCTAAGACACCTATGACTACCCTAACTGGTGGTGACCCAGTACCTTCTTCTAGTAAATGACCTACGCAAGTGACGTCAGAAATGATCTGGGGCTGTATTAACACAATGGCAGACTTCCATTATTTGTGCCACAGAGAAAAGCTATGATTGACTAAACAACTTAAATACCTGCCCTCAGCCTTCTGTGTGTGTCCCCACCTTCCCGACAATCACTATGTTGGCTTTTGGCTTTGTAAGCATTTTAGGCTTCCCTCTGGAAGCTCACTCCTACCAGGTTATGAATTTAAATACATATACATATATATTTAATTCATCTATTCATCTAAATAGTTGAACGGTCGAATCTGTCAATACAAAGAGTTTTTCAACCCCATACGCAACGTAGGATACACTTGGAGAGTACGGCGCAAAAGGTAAAAACCATCCTAGAGTTTTAACATGTTTCATCCAACTTCCCAACGCGTGAACAACTACCAGCCGACACAGACACGTTCAGTCTGTATTACCCCCTCCTTGGGCAGTAAGGAAGAAGAAAACCTAGAAGGAAAAACGTATCCCAGGATAGAAGCAGCAACAGCCAACTGAAACCCAAGTAGACTGCAGGAGAAATAGAAAAACCCTGTTTTCCTCTGTGGCCAAAAGACCTTTTCCAATCAAATGTTTCAACACCCGGAAAATTGGCTGACCTATTTGTAGAGAACACACAGAGACGAGCGTTAGAGCAGCACTACCCTGGAGTACCAGTTCTGCGGAATGTTGACCGCGGGCCACTCACCGCATGACAGCCACGGATCCACTGGCGGAGCCGCAAGCTACAACCCAGGCGCCTGGCAAACTCACACTACACCTCAGTAGCAATAATCCCAACGGCAGGACACCTGGGGAGGGTGGGCTCGGTCTCCCGGGCCTGGCTCAATTATGTTCCTTTACACAGCATTCAATCATGTTTCAGGAGCCGTAGGTGAGGGGCTGGAGGTGGGAGTGGGGGGCACATTTTCTAGCCCCCGACGTCTCCGGGGTTGGAAATTCTGGGCACCTCAGTCGGTCAGCGCTAAGACCATACACAAAGAGCAGGGAACCGGCGCTCCTCTGCGGCCAGAGCTCGGCGCCCGGTCACAGAAGAGCTGGGAATTAGGAATTCCGAGCTCAGCGAGAGCCCCGGAGAAGCACCGGAAATGCTTCGGAACGCTTTAAAGGGAAGTCAATTTGCAAATCAAAGTTGCAGGAACTCCGGACGCCCAGACTACTTCAGCGGGTGACTCGGGAACACCCAACAAGTTTGGCCACCGGGGGCTCGGCATGACAGCGCCGCGCCGCGAGACGAGAGAAGCAACTTGTCGCTCGGGCGCCAAGCCAGAGCCCTGAGCCGTCTCCGCTCCCCAGCTCGGGAGAGCACCCAAGAGCCGGCGTCGGGAAGGCGCAGGTCCCTGCCTCCAGCAGCCAAATCCCTCAAGTGAAGGCACCTCAGGGGCTCACCTGGACCGCACTCGCTCCCAGGGGCTTCCCCCAACAGTGCAAAGCTTCACCGCGAACGCCTCACCTGCCTGCCAGCCCCCGGTGGCGGAGAAATTAACAAAAGAGCAAGCGAACAGGGGGAAAGGGAGACACGGCGTAAAGTATAGTAAGGAGGGGAGGGCAGGCAGCTCGGCTTTCCGCGGAGAAAGAAGAGAGAGGCGGAACGGAGATGGCTTATACCCCAGGCACCGGCTCGGGAAGGAAACCGAGAAGGGAAGAGGTCGAGAAGGGGGAATAGGTTTTCTACTCCGCTTCCCACCACACACACACCTCCCCCTTTTTCCTCCTTACCCAGCATGGAAAAGATGAAATCCTTGGCTGTGTGAATCTCCAGCGCTCTCTGGTCGTCGTATTCCCGCTGGTCGTGCTTCGTAAATTCTTGGATGAGTTTGTTCAATTCCTCCACCCGAGCTCCCGACCTGAAATCCAGCTCCGGGAACGCAGGCTTGTTGTTACAGCCCAGGGAGGCTGCCTTGCTGGCGGTGGGAGCCGCCATCTTCATGCAAAACGCGCCGAGTAGCAGGCTTGTTGTTACAGCCCAGGGAGGCTGCCTTGCTGGCGGTGGGAGCCGCCATCTTCATGCAAAACGCGCCGAGTAGCAGCTCCGCGGCAGCGCAGCACCCACCCCCGCCCCCCACCCCGCCCCCCTGGGCCTCCTCCCCTCGCAGGCTCCCAGGCTTTGGCCCCGGCCCGTGGGCGGGTTGGCGGGCGGGCGTCTGGGCGGGCGGTCCCCAGCTCCGTGCGCTCTGGGCGTGCGAGCTTTGGGAGGAGCTGGACTGCAGCGAGGGTGCGTGTGTGGCCCCGACACCCTTTTCCCGGCCCCACGCCCGCCCCGATGCTGCGCGTCCCTGCCCTGCCCTGGCCCTCGCTGGCAGCAGCAACAGCGGTCGTAGAGCCAACCGGAGCCTCCCCCCGAGCGAGGAAAGTGAAGTGGAAACAATGTGAAATTCACCAGCTCTGAAATCAACAAGCTGCCGGCTCCGGTGTTACGGAGCCAGCACCAGCGTCTCCATTTAAAGGGACAGCGCACCCAGTGGAAAGGAAAATAAATAAATGACAGAGGTCTGCGCGCATATGCCACTTGCCAATCCGTACTTGGGAAGACGCGCGAGGTGTGGATGCATTCTTTCTCCACCTCCACGGCCGTCCCCCCATCCCCTTTCTGGGCAGGGTTCGTCAAGCACTTTCAAGGAGAAAAAAGTCTTCCTCCGTTTGATTTTAAGGGCGGTGTCCTGGGGGAGGACATCTCTGTGCGCGTTTACCTCTCTATCCCAAAAACTCCAATACCTTTAAATAGTAAAGGAAACTGCCTTAAGGAATATGAAACCTGTCTTCTACTCTTTTCCTCTTGGATTGCCAAGATGATAGGATTGAGCGTATCAAAAAAGAGAGTCCACATCTAACCCAGTATTGGCACTCCCACTAACCCCTAGAATATCCCTACCTTTGCCCAAGGTAATGAATGACCTGAATAACAGTTTATCTTAACATATAATGAGTTAATGAGATTCAACCTACTCTAGTATAAAGACAGGGAAACTAAAGTGTGGGTGTGGGAGAGGGGAAACAATGAATTGCCCCAGGTTCCAAGGAATGTTGAATGACAAGATGAAAATTTTCTCATTCAACGGATAAAATTTGAGTAGGCACTATTTGCCAGATGGAGTGACAGAATGTGACAGTGATAGCCAAAAGACATGACTCCTACCATGGAGTTAGGCTTACATGACAAGGCAGGTTCAATCTAAATCATGGTCCTTTAGGCAGAATAGAGTCTCAGAGGTGTTTTTAGTGTTTATGGGGTGTGTCACTCAAACACTTAGGAGGCCCATTGGCTCTGAGAAACATAGGTTATCTTCCTCCCTGATTCTCCAAAATCTCTCTTCTCTATCCCACATTCCCTGATTTAAATCAGGCCTTTCTCACTTTCTTACCCGAGTTCTGATGGCCGAGAATGCAAATTGTTTTGTTGGACATGGAAGGAAGTACACGCTCTTCCATGCCTTCCTTGATAAAACGGGAACAATAATTCCTGTCTCACAGGTTGTTTTAAGGATTACGTGAGGTAACACAAGCACTTAGTACAAGGACTGACATAATAAGTACTTAGCTATTATCAGCTTCTACTATTGTTATTAATTCTTTCACTTTTCCTCAGTCTAGTAACGACTTGTTGCTATAGTGATCTTTAGAAAACACAGATCTGACCGCTGACATCCCCCTGGAATTCTTCTCTTCTTTACTCCCTTTACACCAAAACCAGTTCCTCATCTGCCTTTTTCTTAAAGCTTTCCCAAGACCCTCCCCTCAAGCTGGTGGCAACTTTTCCTTCCTCAGACCCTACTCTTAGAAGCTTTCATATGATGCTAATGAATTTTGACCTTGCTTCATCGTTGTTTTTTGTTTTGGGTTGTGTGTGTGTGTGTGTGTGTGTGTGTGTGTTTGAGATAGGGTCTTGCTTTGTAGCCCAGGCCAGAAGCTTTCATATGATGCTAATGATTTTGACCTTGCTTCATCATTGTTTTTTGTTTTGGGGGTGTGTGTGTGTGTGTTTGAGACAGGGTCTTGCTCTGTAGCCCAGGCCAGACTGCAGCGGCACAGTCGTGGCTCACAGCATCCTCAGCCTCCTGTGCTCAAACAGGCCTCGCATCTAGGTCTCAAAGGGATTACAGGCATGAGCCACCACACCTGACCACTTCATCGTTGTTAATTTAAGTTTTAAACTAAAAGATTATTGGGGAAGAGGACTACATCTTATTCATCTTTGTATTTCCTGCAGCATATGGTCCTACAGAAGGGTCCTCTATGTTGATTGGATCAAGTAGTGAGTGAAGAACTTTGGCATAATGAGTTAGTTTCTCTTACTTTTGGTTTCCTTCCCTTTGAAACACACTTCCTCACCCCCTCAGTATGAAAGAGAGAGGATCCATGCCTAGATAAATGCTAGTGGACTGATAAGGAAGTGACTTAAAAGCTCTGGTTTTTACGCCAGGCATGGTGGCTCACGCCTGTAATCCTAACACTTTGGGAGGCCGAGGCGCGTGGATTGCCTGAGCTCAGGAGTTCAAGACTAGCCTGGGCAACACGATTAAATCCCATCTCTACTAAAATACAAAAAATTAGCCAGGTGTGGCAGCATGTGCCTGTAGTACCAGCTACTCAGGAGGCTGAGGCAGGAGAATTGCTTGAACCTGGGAGTCAGAAGTTGCAGTGAGCCAAGATCGTGCCACTGCACTCCACCTTGGGTGACAGTGAGACTCCGTCTCAAAAAAAAAAAAAAGAGGCTCTGGCTTTTGCAGCTCTGCCATGCTGCTGCCCTGACTTTTCATCCTGAGAGGATATTAACATTACCTGGGCAGTAGCCGAAGCCACACAGGTGTTTGGAACTCCAGCACAAATTGATCCACTCCCATCTGTCAGTGCTTGGCTAGTGATCAACGGCAGGCACCTGTGCCACAGCTGGCTGAGGCCGTCCTTCCATAGCGCAGAATGGTTCTAGTTACCTCCAAACCACGTACAGCTAGAAATACTTCAGACAACAAAATCAGAACACTTTTTATTGGTTAATTTCCAAGCATATGAATGAGGCATCATTACTCTTCCCTTACTTTTTCCTTTTTTTTTTTTTTTTTTTTGAGACGGAGTCTCGCTCTGTGACCCAGGCTGGAGTGCAGTGGCGCGATCTTGGCTCACTGCAAGCTCCGCCTCCCGGGTTCACGCCATTCTCCTGCCTCAGCCTCCCGAGTAGCTGGGACTACAGGTGCCCGCCACCTTGTCCGGCTAATTTTTTTTGTATTTTTAGTAGAGACGGAGGTTTCACCGTGTTAGCCAGGATGGTCTCGATCTCCTGACCTTGTGATCTGCCCGCCTCGGCCTCCCAAAGCGCTGGGATTACAGGCGTGTGCCACTGTGCCCAGCCTATTTTTACCTTTTCTTGTGATATTTATATCCATAAAGAAACAACAGGTTGTTAGCAGAAAGTATTCCTGTTGTGCCGTAGTGCTGGGCCTTGGGGGTTTGAATGAGTAAGACCACAGCTAAATCTCTTTGGTAGTCATAAATCTGATGTTCCTCATTGTCTGTTCTCCTTCCCATCAACCAGATCAGAATTCTATGAAGCATGGACCCTCAGTGAGCCTGCATATCCAGATAATGTGGTTCGATGGTAAACTAACACCTTCCTAGGCTCTAATAGAATGCTGATAAGATTGTGTCAATATCCCTTGTTGAATTCGAAGAACAGAGAAAAAAGATCAAAAACCATAATTTCCTGAATTGATCTATTGGGATACTTTAACCTCTGAGCTTTTCGAGGGCAAGTACTCTGTATCTTTACCTGTGTAAACACTGCATTTAATTTAATTATTGACCCATCTTATGACGTTAGCTAATATGTTCAAATGAATATATAAAAGAACGAATGAGGCCGGGCATGGTGGCTCACACCCATAATTTCAGCACTTTAGGAGGCCGAGGCGGGTAGATCATGAGGTCAGGAGTTCAAGATCAGCCTGGCCAACATAGTGAAACCCCGTCTCTACTAAAAATACAAAAATTAGCTGGGCATGGCGGCACGCACCTGTAGTCCCAGCTACTCGGGAGGCTGAGGCAGGAGAATCGCTTGAACCCGAGAGGCAGAGGTTATGGTAAACCGAGGTTGCACCACTGCACTCCAGCCTGGGCAACAGAGGGAGACTCTATCTCAAAAAATAATAATAAAAAAGAGTGAATGAACTAATGCCATCCCTCAAAGTCCAAGAAGTCAGAATTTACGTCATTTTTGCTACAATTTACATATCTCAATGTAAGCTATCTATGGTTTCCCAGTATTTAGCTAAGTGTTGTTATAAATGAAAATATTTCTGCATGCATTTAATTAAATGCCCCAATTTTTATGCCTTTTCCCCCCTGTGTATGTTATATGACCTAAGAGAAGAAAGGGAGATAGAGGGGAAAGTAGAGAGAGAGAGAAAATAATTATTAGAAGATGTTAAAGAGTATCTGAGCCTTGTAATAAAAATGCATATCTCTAGAATTTTGACAGATGGACAAAGGTCAGTGGAGTCTACCATCTAAACAAGCACTAAGGTAGGCTTTTCCTTTGCTGGCTCTTGCAGCATCAAACAGAACCGAGTAACAGCCTGCATCTCCAAGCTGCAGTCACACTTAGAGGTAGAACTTGCCCTTCTACTCCCAACTCCCGAATTTTATTAGCATGTGAAAGAAGTCTTCATCTTGCTTCTCTGGAGCTGTTTGTTGTTAAATACAGCTCTGAAGTTCTGTGGCAAACTCTCAGCCATGAATAACTGGGCTGTGCAGAGCTTGCATTAAAAATAGCAAGCTCCACATCCACATGACGGATTAACAAAATATAATTTTA